CCTTTTACGCGCTCCCTCGGTTGTGGCGGCTGCTCTCTTTGTTCCGAGGCTAATGGGCTGGTTAACGGGGTGCGGGGCAGCGGGAGCCAGCGGGGCCGCAGGAACCAGCGCACCGCGAAGGGCTGTTAGGAGCTCGCAGTGTCACCCGGGAGGGACCTGTGTTCTCTGCAGCAGTGCATGGAGAAGGTGGCCTGGGGGAGGGGCTGAGCACTGCTTACCAGTGGTGGTCTCTGTTCCAGAAAGCTTCTCCGAGCGCCGTGGACCGTTCACCTCCGGTGGACGAATGAGGGCAGGAGCTGGCCCACAGCCGGGGCAGTCCCGCAGCGGGCAGCTGCCTGGTGCTCAGGCTCTGCAGCGGATGCTGCCGGGGGCGGCCTGTCCCTTCAGTGCCGGGCAGCCCCGCAGTCGGTGTCGAGCTTTTGAGGCGCAGGGTGGAGCCGAACCCCGTGGAGGTGAGGTGTCCGTGTTGGCTTCCTAAAGCCAGCGCCTGTGAAACACAATGGGTGGCTCCTTCGCTTCCATCCTTCATGACAGCAAATGACGTGCTTCAGCAGAGAACTTCCCTGATCGCTGTTTTTGGGGCTGTGGTTTTAAATTGCACTTGGTTTAGTAAAGGTTTAAGAAAAAGGAAAAAAAAAAAAAAGTCCGGCACAATGAAACTGTGATGATGTCATGAATCGCCACGTTGGTACAGCTCCCCCTTCCTCTGTGAAGTGGATCAGGGTCTGGGTCACCTTTACATAGTTGCCCCATTGACTGGGCCACCACAAAGAGACCCACAGGGTCCCCTGAGCGCTTTGCTGGCCGTAAACGTGCGCCCTGTGAGTGGTGGATGTGAAATCGTACTTGGCTGCGCCGGCTCCCTGAAACCCTGCTGCGGGCTCGTGCTACCCCCTCTTGTCGGTGCTTATTCTGGGTGTCGATGACGTTTCCAGAAGCGCCTGCGGTGGTGCGGGGGCCGCCCGTGCCGCCCCTTGGCCACGCGGCGTTGGTGGCGCTGACAGGTGGATGCGCGCTTCCCCCTGCAGGAGCTCTTCGCCGAGTTCGGGACCCTGAAGAAGGCAGCCGTGCACTACGACAGGTCCGGCCGCAGCCTGGGGACGGCGGACGTGCACTTTGAGAGGAAGGCAGACGCCCTGAAGGCCATGAAGCAGTACAACGGGGTCCCCCTGGATGGTGAGTCCGTGCGGCCGCCTCCTGGCGCCTGTTGCCGGCCAGGGAGTCCGTGTCCCGGCGGCAGGCTCACGGGCTGCTCTCCCTCCAGGGCGCCCCATGAACATCCAGCTGGTCACGTCACAGATTGACACACAGAGGAGACCAGCACAGAGGTGAGATGCCGGGGGGCGGGGGCGTGCCTGGCCCCTCCACGTGGGAAGTGTGGATCCACGTCCCGGTCAGCAGACGTCTGGTGCCTGCCCCGGGGAACCGGAGCTCACTAAGCCCGTTGCTCTTTCAAAATCGCAGTGTAAACAGAGGTGGCATGACCAGGAACCGTGGCGGTTCGGGAGGGTTCGGTGGTGGAGGAGGCAACAGGCGAGGTACTCGCGGTGGGAACAGAGGGAGAGGCAGAGGAGCTGGAAGAACTTCCAAACAGCAGCTCTCCGCAGAGGAACTAGATGCACAGCTGGATGCTTACAATGCCAGGGTAAGTGCTGGGGGCGCTGCCCGCAGCTCCCCCGCACCGTATTGTCAGCGGGGTGCCGGGTAAAGCCGCCTTGCGCTGAGGCTGAGCGCTGCCCTGGTGTGGGGCGCCCTGTCGGCTGCTGTTGCTGGCAGCCGGGAAACGGCCCTTTGGGCAGCTGTAGCAGCTGTGGGGAGTGTAACAAACCCACAGGGACAGAGGGCTGGTGAGTGCAAAACCAAAAAGAAAACCCCCCAAATAGCCCCATGGAGTGGTGATGGGGGACAGGTCAGTGGTGCCGAGGGCGGAAGCCATGTGCATTGTTG